GAGTTTTGACTGGTGGCAGCGATAGTATAGAGAGCTCCGCGAACGGGCTATCGCTGTGAGGAGCCTACCGTAACTACAGACATAACTGAGTCTCCCACACTAAAGAGTTCAACCTTAGTTAAGGTTGCCGCTAAGTATCCTGTTCACGTTAAGGTTGTCCAAAGGTAGTTATGTGCAACGGGCGTAACGTTTTGTTAAGGTTACCTTAAGATTAACCTCAGTAACTAAGTTCAACCTTAGTAAAGGTTGTTTTGTACAACGGCACCCTGGGCTTTTTTCAACTACTAACATTCTAGTCTGAACCATCGACAGCTCCCCCAGGAAGCACGTGCACGATTACGTCAACTGAGCTATTTATCCTTACCATCTGGTATTCGTAACAGTTAAGGTCTCAGTTGATATTAGCGTATGCTTAAGTTGTTTTTCTGACTTGTTTGATTTGGATGTATGACGTTAGTGATGTGATAAGGTTTATCTGTTATAAGGTTCTGTGACCTTTTGGAGACCGGAGAGTGTTTGTCAGACTCGTTTGTGTGAACAAAAGAACTTTAAACTCTGCAAATAGTAGCACATCAGCACACACGTATGTAATTGTTTCTTTGATTGTTTGTTGTTTAACGCTGCACTCAACAATATTCCAGCTATATGACGGCGATCTGTAAGTAATTAAGTCTGGACGAGACAATCCAGTGATTGACAACATGAGCATCGATTCACGCAATTATGATCGATAACATGAATCAACCAATTACGAGTCTGACCACCCGATCCCGTTAGTCCCCTTACGACAACCATGAGTTGCTTAAGACCAATTCTAACCCGGAATCTTCACGGCAATATGTATCTCTTTGTACTTATTTAAAGGGAGCTTTTGAATTAAGTACAAAATAGCTTTTGGAGTCAAGCCAAAAGTTAATAGTTCTTATTTTTATTGGTTTCTTCATTTCTTGATGTGGCTTTTGTAACACAAAACGTGGTGAACACAGATGCAGACACGTATTCAGAGGTTCAGGTGAATTTGGAGGTAAGACATTTAGGCAAGAAGTGGGCATCTCCATGGCCACCAATTGTGCACCCCTTCTTGTGGATCTGTTTCTTAATGCATATGAATCAGAAACAAGGTAAGTTGGCCAAGAAGTTTAACTTAAGCATCCGGTATATCGATTTCGTTCAATAACAATCAAATAGCCAATTCCCATCAAATGGCTTACCCACATGGACTAGAAATAAAGGAGACCAGTGACACCGTCTCATCTGTTTCACATTTAGATCTGTGTATGAGGGTGTCAGAGTGCCAACACACTCTCCACATGACTGTATGACAAGAGGGATGACTTCAACTTTCCGACAGTCAACTCTCACTTCATGTCGAGCAATTCCAGCAGCTCCAGCCTTTGGTGTTTACGTTTCACTTTTGAGATACTATCGCGCATGCCATTTCTACCCAGATTTCAAAGAGCGTCATACGACTCTTGCTCAGAAGTTGTTTGATTAGGTTTACAACCTTCAAGGCCTCAGTAAAGCTTCCATAAAGTGTTATGGTAGACATGTGTTTCTTCAGGTGAACAATTGACTTCCCTGTGCATGTGTTTGTGACCGGTGTCACCTGAGGGGCAGGAAACGCCCACCTTTTCGCAAACACCTGGTATAATCACTATTTGAAAGTGATTCATTAACACGTGCTCATGATATTGTCGGAATCGTACAATCGACTCTGCTTTATGCAAATATTTCTATTGGATATGGAAAGGGTTGTGTCGCTTTTTTATTTTGTGTTTATTATGTGTGTATATATGTGTGTGCGTGTGTCTGCATTTTTATGTATGTGTCTGTGTTTATTTGTCTTGTTATGTGTCGATTCCCAGATTGAAAGAATTAGTAAACTAAGTAATCTCAATGTAAAATAATTTTGTGCGAAACCAACAAATAAACAACAAATGACATATAATCAACAATGCATTACAACATTAACTAGGTTTACAAATCAACACAATTTACTGCACAACAATAACAATGGCAGAATACAATTGAGCAATTGTCCAATATTCAATAGCATTATATAATATGATGGCAGTGGCCAGTATCAAATACAAAAATACAGAGGTGATAGCAAACGTCAGTGATGATAATATATCCACCCAGCGGCGACAGTGGTCAAGCTTCCGAGATGGTCCTAGGCAGGGCATGCGGGGTGATACGTGATCTTCACACGAAAGCTGGTCTTGATGTAATGAAATGTGTGAGAGACGAAATGTGTGAGAGGCAAGAGTCAAGTGCTGTAATGACCGGACTATTAGAATAAGCGAGATTTAGAGTTACCTTCCTTGGGTGTTGACACGCATAACAGATTTGATCTATCAAGAGATTTTGTGATATGACAGTTTGTAGACGGCTTGCTGTACCTATTATATCAGATCGACGCGAACGTAATTCAAGGCATATTTCGATCTGACTTGCAGCTTTTCCACTTGCCAAATACGGATTGAATATCTATCTGAAAACACAGAATTTCTGCCAACTTCCAACACTGCAACTGCCACTTCTGTCACTTATTTGACCCATCGTCTACCTTGTTATGTTACCATAAACCGAATATAAGTTATTTATTCTTCATTGGTAGTTTGTTTTGGAGTTAACATTTATATTTCAATTTGGAAATGGCTTCGTAACATTACTGATGTAACTATATCGATGGTCACCATCGATTTAGTGACAAATGTACAATGGATCAAGTCTTGTCCACCTAGGCCTATTCGTGTTATAACAATTGTCATAACATTTACAATGTCCGTGGGAGGGTGTTGTCTGAGTTAAGATAACTGTGGTACAGGCATTTGGTCTTTGAATGGCAGTCATATTGATGTGTGCTTGAAGGACTGTACTTGGTAAAAAAAAGTCTGATAGTCCCTTAGGGATCCTGACTTCAAAACTAGACCATTCCGCGTCATTATCTATCCTCAAAAGTATTACAGTCAGGGCCCATCTTGGTAACTGATATGCAGTAAACAGGGATGTTTTAATTAGATGCATTTATAACTGTCAAGTCTCAAATTTGTGGTTGACAAGTTTATATCATGTGCAAAATACCAACAAATGCCCAAACTTGTCACACAGCATTGGAAGCGTTCTACAACATGGTTTCACTGTACTGTGCAGCGCAGGTAGACTTTACCTGTGAACCCAGCCCATCTTTAGAGTCGGCCAATTGGTACAGATAAAACCGGCAATGATTCAGATATCTTGGAAATGCTAGGGGATGTGCCAACTCACCCCTTCAAAATACCTTATACATTGGTCTGTTGTACAAATTCAAGGTTGCATTGACACTTGCATTGTTCCTTGGTAACGTTTTTCCCTAAACCATTAAAGAGTTGTCTTGTTTCATTGTTTAACTGTTGATTAATACTGGGAGAGAAACAGTGATAAATATTATCTAATTCAACATTCCATCTGTGCATTTATGTCATCATCAGTATTACGCCGAAGGCCGTTATTAAGGATAACACACAATGCGACTGGCGGTTATCAATACAGGGTATGCCCTCCAAGTCACGATTCAGACGAACGTTAATGTGTTCAGAAAATTTACTTCCGAAGAGACACCTTCATCCTTTTGTTAATCATCTTGTTTTAAAGCCCTAACATCGGATCAGCCTAATTGGGCCGCATGCGCAGTAAATGTGTCACATATAAGGGAAAATGGGCCGATCCTGCTATTAATAGTAACCAACGTGTCTCGATCTAAAACACATGTGGTGCATCGTTATGCATACTACTGTACTTGTAACAATTTACCGTTTTATATAACTTCATTATCAAAAGGTACCTCTGTTCAATCGAGGAACACGGCGTTGCAGCTGCAGTAATTTTAAGATAGAGTTGTAGTAGTTATTATTGATCACACAGACCATACCTGCAACTGAATAGATTATTAAGATTGCTTGTTTGTTCATGCTCATATTTTTCAACACTTTCAATATTTTATCCAAGTTTATTGGTCCAGTGAATGTTGATCCAATGCACCAAGAATCCATTCGAAGTTTGTTCCATTACCACGGATGGGACTACCATGGCGCTGTGCAGGATGTTTCAAAATGTGATGAGAGTTCAGACGCAGGAAAGTGATGCAACGATTGCTGAACCCATTGAAGAAAAATTGAATGATTGAGGTATATATATCACCCGTCAAGAAACCTCGTCCTAGGAATCTCCTAATCTCCTAATTGAATTGGTGCTGAAGATGAGGGGAATGTTTGGGATTGTGATGTTAAGTGTTAAGTGTTAAGACTTCTCCTGAAGTGTAATTCCACTATTCACAACATGTATATCCCCATAGAGAAACACTGCCAATATATTTTAAGTTGATAACTTTGTTTGTAGAATCTAGAATGAATTTATATTCGTGTAACTATGTAATAATGTGAACAACATATAAGCAAATTGTTATTGGCTTTCAGTTGCCAAATCCAGATTTATTTTATTTCGAATTCTCTTGTCAAAAGTTGTCTGCATCGCTTCTATCATATTGTGGAAACTTAAGGGAAGCCATAAGATAATTGGCGCTGATAGGTATCTACCCCGTGCTTGGGATTTATTGCGTTGATCATTGTCGGTACTTATTATCCAGCTGGCTTCCATTTGTCCATTGTGATTTCCATTCTATTTCCCATCAGCGCTAATTACTCCAAGACTCCCGTTTGCCCATTGTCCATTGCCTGTTACCGATCAGTGATAAGTAAAGTATTGGCTTCCATTTGTCCATCACCTATCAGCACCGAGTATCTGTTGGCTTCCCTTGTTGAGTTTCCACCTTTGTAATCTTATTACTTTATATATAATGTTTTCTACCTCATCGCATTTATTCACCTGATAAAGTAGTGAGTACCCTTGTGTTCCTCATGATAAAGAAGTTGACATCCATAAATTCTCTTCCTTATGAAATTTGAAGGGTTGTTAGCAATAGACAATGACATGTCTACAGAGACAGACAGAAACTCATCTTATTACAAACATGTATATTATTTATTGTGTTTATTTTCTATCATCAAATAAACATGTATATGTATTTGACTTGGTATCACACTGTGATTTCGATGTACGTCTCTACACAACCACGAAGTTGTTGATTTGTCTTGTCATTCAGGGTGAGTTTTACGTGGTACTCGCCCTGGAAAAAATATTGAACACAGGAATATATCATCTACATGCCCAAGCGGTCATAATGATCACTAAACGTCATCAAATGGTAATTCACTTTGTTTAACTGTTGTCAGTCTTTGGCTCTGAACGAGAAGAAAACCCTGACACGCACACATTGTCAAATATTATTTCAAAATGGTCTTTCCAAGATTCGGCAATCCCTCATCACAGACAGACAGACACGAAAAGGTGTGTCTTTTCTCACCTGTGCAACTGATCCTTTGTATTGGTTAAAATCAATCATCATTTGGTTGATAGTCTTTACTTACACTGGCCAGAAATTGCCAGGCATCAGTGATGTTGTTGACGGTGAACTTGGAAGGGGGCATGTCGAGCTTGTCGGGGCTGAAGGGGCAGGTGCAGGGGAGGCTGTTGGCAGTCAGCTGGGGCGGACAGATGCCCTGTTGTTTGAAGATGTTCAGGAAGTGGCAGGGGTCGATGTAGTGGCTGTGGGCAAACCAATATATACTCATCGACAAAAGAAACGCGAATTACTTACATTTTGGTAAATATATAAGGAATGTTTATATTCGTGAGAAATAAGATTGTTCGATGCACAAACGGACATATGGGTATGCTGTGTGAACCGAAGGTCATGAACGCATCACTTGTGACGTCACAGATCCACGAGTCGACATGCACCATTTGTCTCTTGCAGGATAAGCATGTATTTCTTCACTTTTTGTATTCATTACAGAAAAAAACATGACCTGTGATACTATACCTTGTTGCCAGTATATAATATGATCGATTACAATATATTTTCATGTTACAGCATGGTGGGGTGTTGTTTTATACCAGATGTGTACTCAAACATTGAAATCTCTTCATCAGTTCTTGCCACTTAGTGTTGAAAGTAGGAATGTTATTATTCTTTATTGCTGTGTACACTCATAGCGTGTAAAGTTTGGAGATCATGTGCAGCATATCATATTAAGAATATAGACACTCTGTGGTAACACTTCACTGATTGTTGGTCAGTGCTGGAAACCCCGTTCACCTCATGTTAGTCAGTGCTGTAAACTCCGTTCACATCATGTCAGTCAGTGCTTGAAACTCCGTTCACCTCATATTTGTCAATGTTGGAAACTCCGTTCACCCCATCTCAGTCAGTGCTGGAAACTCCGTTCACCTCATGTTTGTCAGTGCTTGAAACTCTGTTCACCTCGTGTTTGTAAGTGCTGGAATCTCCGTTCACCTCATGTTAGTCAGTGCTTAAAACGACGTTCACCTCAGAGTAGTCAGTTCTGGAAACTCTGTGCACCTTATGTTAGTCAGTCCTGGAAACTCTGTTCACCTTTTGTTAATCAGTGCTGAAAACAACGTACACCTCAGACTGGTCAGTGAAGGAAACTCCGCTCACCTCATGCTAGTCAGTACTGTGTAAGAATCACTAATTTCTAAAAGGTCTTAATAAGAACTGATCAAGCAGTTCCATGTTACATTTAGTCACTATCGTTATAGTATGGCATATCAAATTTATATATTTGTCAACAGAGACCAATTGTTTTGCTTCGTTAATGCATATAAAATTATCAATATCTGATGTTATAAACCTGTAAAACTTACTAATTGCATGTTGGATATATATACACACCCCACCTGAGAGTCGACAATGCTCAGATAATGTAATCACAAATGTTTTTACAAGACACACTATTTGGAATTTGCTTGGGTAAGGGATGAAGTCGCTGTCATCTTTTTCGGGGCTCAATCCATTTACGTTCCAACACAAGAAAGTTACTTTCTTATCTTCACACACAGTAGTGCTCATGAAATCGATCGTATCACCGTTGTCTGATCTTTTACATCCATGTGATGTATTATCCGGGCCTCGGCCATCGTCCTATGGAAGCCTATTCGACGATGTATCAGTTACAGCTTCACTGATCCTGCCGCGCCTGTGTTGGGGTGTTTCTTGTTGCGTACGGGGGTTACTATCCGAACTTTCTCGAGGTCTTGTCACAAGCTTACCGTTCTCAAGAGTAACCAAAATAGCCGGTGTCTTTAAGAGCATTGACTTGTTGACGTTGACGTGTGGTCAAGTCACTTGAAATTCCCAGCCCGTTTTCCTTCAGCACGGGATCTGTCTTTCAGGGTTCGAACTTTGTCGTCTGATATCAGAAGCATGGCAGTTAGAAGGCCTGCTTTCTCCGCATTTCGACGTCTCATTTTAAGGCGATGGCCACGGATAATGTCAGATGATGGCCACATTTCTCCTTGCAAGCCATCGATGTCTCGCTTTCTGCTTCTGGTACACCGTGGAGAATGATGCTAAATAATTCCAGTTTGTCCATATCGTCATTAATCTTAGGTAGACGTTCTACGACAGTTTCAATTTTATCAGGAACAGCATCAATGTCAGTATTCATAATGTCATGATTATGTTTCATGTCGTAAATATATCAGATTTGTTTAGTGTTACTGTCACCACAAGTTGACCATATTTAGAGCAAACTGCGTTCACTGCAGTTTTTACAGCTGTAATTTGTAACTTAGTTCCGACTTGACGTCGGGAAGCTCCGACTAGATAACATCTCTTACTTCTTTTTGAGAAATGGGTCCCGGGTTTGTTAAAACGTCGTTTGAACAAAACATGATCTGTGTGATAATCCCCCCGGTCCACCCCAGGACACCTTTCACGTGCAAGCCAAGCGTGGTAATTTGTCAAAACTGGGTCATAGTCCATCGCAGTGACGTCAAATGATACACAGAAAGAGCTATTTTCTTTTGGAAAAACCGATCAAAGTTCATTTTCTCGAAATGATTGAGCAGGGCGAAGAATGCAGAGAGGTGTGCAGCAAATGCAGTGGTGCAAATGAGCAGTCTGAAATGAACATCAGTCCCAGACACGAATGGCGAGTACTCACTGTCTCTGTGCAGCGTCAGTTGTCGAGTTCCCCTCGGGTGGATAAACGAGCCGATTCTGGCTCTTTTCACATCAGTCGATACCATGTTGATGTCAGGAGTGTTGATCATATACCAAGTCATCTCCTAGCGTTGGCAGTGTGGTATATGCATCCTACCTTGGCATATATTTTGAAAACAGTTCAGCTCGACATTACATGGTGTCACATCTAGACGACGACTGTGGGCCTCTTTACGTAACATGTAATTAATTACCTATGTTACTCTGTTGCTATCTATTCGCCCTGCCAATTCCAAACACAAACGTTCCACAGTCTCCTTAGGCTCCGGAATGTGCTGTGCGCACCATGTTTTTGTCTGAAACACTTTTCAAAACATGTTGAATCTCTTGATTCAATCCCTCAACGTACTAACATCAACCTTACTCAACGCTTACCATGTGCCAACATCTTTGACGCAGGGCACCTTGGTGAAACGCCTGATAAGGTTCTTCTCCATGAGAACATCTAGTGTGACCTGGTCTGCGAGTTGGTGGCTGATGGTTCCATCAAGGGTCACGGTCATATCTCTGGGAAGCTTGATGGGGCTGGGCGTGATGTCGAACTGATTCACGGAAACCCAGGAGTCGCCAACACCTGACAAGAAGATACAAATTACATACACGTGGCTTGGCTCACAAAGTGGTCAATGAAAGTAAGGTGTACAGGCAACTACATGTAAAATTGAACAAATAACATAGACTCAGACATGTCCACATAACATATCGAGGCATGCATTGCAGCATTCAGACTCAGATAGACTCAGACATGTCCATTTGTGTGGAAGTATGATTATACAAGCGTTATCTTTCATCTGGATATTTTTAAATGATTCGGACTTTAATATCATACAGTTGTTGTCACTTGGTCGTTAATTGTATCGTTATCAGCTGATATGTGTGCCAACACAATCATATTAGGGGGTTTATACATATGTTCCGTTATGGGATCTTTATCACTGGTTGGGAACCATCCCAGTGGTGACGTGTGCTGTAATCCTTGAATTATTATTTGCAAATACTCATTTGTGACTGGTTTGTATCCTTGTACACCAATTTGTAACATGTCCTCCCATTACCATCAATTTTTAACATTTCCTTACAATGTGTTTAGCTGAACTCCCTCCAAAATTACCGACAGGAACACATGTGTCTCATCAAGATCAAAGTACATTTTATCAATCAGATAACAGGTGTTCGCGAAAAGGTGAGCTAATTCTGCCCAACCGGTGACACCCGTTCACTTGAAAAAACACGCACATGTCCTCCACATGTCTCCACCTTTTGAAAGCTTTACTGCGGTCTTGAATGTTGTAACTTTGTTGTGTTGTGAACAACTTCTGAGCAAGAGTCGTATGACGATTTTTGAAATCTTAAGAGAAAGAGCTCGATTGGAGCCAAAGGCTGGAGGGGCTGGAATATTGCCCAATATGAAGGGAATGTTGACTACAGGAAAGTTAAAGTCATCGCTCTTGTCATACAGAGTCTTGGAGAGAGTTTGGCAGCTGAATCTTTATACATAGATAAAAATATGAAACAGATAAGGCGGTCTCTATGGTCTCCTTTGTTTCTTCGTCACGATATGGCTGAAATATTGTCGATGTGACGTTAAATATTAACTCACTCACTCACTCCTATGTTTTTTGTTCAGGTGGGTAAATCAATGGAAGGGAATTGGCTATTTGATTGTTATTGGGCGTTATCAGATCATCGATACACCTGAGGCTTAAGTTAAACTTATTGGCCAAATTACTTTGTTTTGACTTTGACAATCCGAGCAGATATTCCGATTCATATGCATAAAGAAACAGATCCGCAAGTAAGTGAGTTAAGGTTAGATCCACATCTGGTTTACTAACTGCCAAAGTGGGGAAGTCAAAAGTTACTTTGTTATTGTGGAGATCTACGTAAAGAAGATTAAAAACACTGTTATTAGGCGGATTGGATTTCGAAGAACATAATTTAGAAATATATTGCAAAGATAATTTGATGCGACGTTGTTTAAGGGATGGCTCATCTGTCTCCATATACAGACTTTGGAAATTCGTAGGGTTCCAAGGCAAAGCCTCGGTCATTGATGGTGAATAGAATCTAGTATTTTTAAATTACAAGCCCCACCATAAGTGATGGAGTTTTGAATATTCATATCCCCTCCCCATTTTGGGTTTGAGACAACTGTCAGTAAATCGAGGGTCCTCAGATATTTATTTTTCAAATATTTAATATGAGGCAAAAAAGGTCAAATGGTAGTCGAAAATTATACCCAGGAACTAGGCCTCTTTCACAACCTAAATAGGTGTGTCATTTAAAATGAGTTCCGGGTCTTTGTGCAGTTAATATTTTCTCGAAAAATAAATAAAGCTTGTCTTTGATTTTAGGAATTTAAAATCCATTTTTTAAAGACCATTTCCGGAACATTCAAAAGTAATATTTTCTTTCGCCATGACAGGAAATATTAAAAAATCAACAAAAAAGCGATCCATCAATTAATTTATTAAACGCTTTTGATAAACAGTTGATTTTATGCTAGACAATGTGACAG